GGGGGGGGGGGGGGGGGAGCACTCTAATTAGAGTGGTTTCCAGAGCTGCTCTAATTAAAAAACACCACCGTGTCACATGTATGAAGTCCATGAATGTTTAAAAATGGCTGAGAGATGCTTTAACTACAGCACATTCAACAAGCTTTAAAGTGTCCCAGTAGCCATTTTTAAACCCGTGGGGGCTTATATACATGACGCTACAGCGATGCTAGAGCATTCTAATTAGAATGTGTCAGAGCATGTGTATAGGCACCTTAAAAGTGTAAACTCTTGCTTGGACAGTTTCAACTGTGGCAAGTAGGTAAGAAGCTCAAGTCAATCCCTTTCTACATATTAAGTTACTACATTATGTGGAAGACAGAGGAATAGAAAAAGGCAATGCTAGGTTCTTTCATCAACTAGAAGGAAAATGGCACCCAAATACACTAAATATATAGTATAAAACTTTACTTACGAACATATTTAACAGATTTTATTGTGCACATGAAGTCTTCCAAGTTTCTCAGCACCCTTTTGCTGAAAGTAAACATTTATTAAGTTTGCTTTGTATGCCATACCAGAATGAAAGATTTCCCAGGTAAATGAATGATTTGTTGTCACTAGCAGTTTCCCCAAATCGCATAAAGAATACTAACACATATCCCCCTGCATACCTTCTCAAAGCAGCCCCATATTTACAGCTTCTCATTAAACAGAGCATTTATCTTACACATTTTATACCACTTTGGTATATGATTTTCCATAATTTTGCTTCATTTTACATTTATTTACAAACTTTTTGTAAAAAAGGTCAGCTTTACAGAAACTTAAGGATTTGATGGAGTTAGTTACTGGCATATTCAGAATATGGCAAAAGGGAACAACCAGGACTATGTAACTAGATATGAAAACTGTCTCTTGGCTTAGAAAAAGCTTAAAAATTGAAATCTTTTTTTTCCAAAATCTTCCTATTTTTCCAAAGCAGTTCATGACTATGTTAAAATGGATTTTAACAGTTAAGAAATATATGCTACCCATTGTTGACACTATCTTGCTTGTTCTAGTATTCTTCTGATTTATGCTTCCCCATCCTGGCCTCAAGGCACAGAAAGTTAGGTTCCCAATTTTTAATTAATTGATCATGTCTTAAAGCAGATCCCACAGCTAAAAATTGAGCATGTTAACTAGAAGTAGTATAATTCCAGAAGTATTTAGTGAAAATCTGAACTCAGAAAAACAACCCCAAATAAATAAGTCCTTAATTGTTTTAACAAGGAACTTCAAGTGTAGATTAACCTGACTGATTGTTTGTGGGGAGGCAACTGACTGCAAAAAGTGATGCTACCATTTGTCATAGGGAAAATATGCAGCTAGCCAAGCAAATTTCTTACACAAATCCAGGAACCTTGCATTTCATCCTTTGGTTATTACAGGATTTTATGCTACTTTGAGACAAACGTATGGGGGAGGTTGGTTGCACGTATAATTGTTGCCAATGGAGTCACTAAGTCTCTTTGGGCATTTTTACATGCATTTCTGATGCAGCACCCAGGCGCTTTTAATTAGTGAGCTGAACTAATTAGAAGTGCCTGGTGCTGCATCAGGAACAGATGCATCAGTGGCACAGCACACAGAACTGCAAAAATGGCAGCAGTGCACATTGAACATGTTCTAGTTCAAAATGCACCACTACCATTTTCTGAGTGCTGACATGTGCTGCGCCACTAATACATGACACGCAAGGCTGCCCAGTGCGCATCAATTTACATGCCTGAGCAAATTCGATTAATCAAGTCTGCTCTGACATGGATTTCCAGTGCAGAGCAGACTTCCTATATGTAAGTGCCCTTTAGGTCCAAATTATATTCAGTGACACAAAGCATGTAAAATTTGTTAGTGAGACTTCTTGTTACCTTTAATGCTTTTTTACAACATACTGAATTTAATGTTTTACCAAACTTACTTTGTTTTACTGTAACACTGCTGCAATACAAAATGCAGTATGGGTAAAGTAAAGCTGCTAAAATATGAACTGCTTACAGATACTTAAAAAAAAAAAAAAAGAAACAGCGCTTTACTTTAAATTTGATGTGCCACCATGCAAAGCCCAAAAGAGGCAGCAGTGTGTTAGTTGGACTTGACTCACCTAATGTCTGTATAGACTGGGTGCTTTAGTGGGGCTTTTTTGACACTTATCTAATAGCTGATTGAATCAGCTTTAGCTAAAAGCACCAAAAAGCCCTGCTGAAACACCCGATCTATACAGACGCTGTGGAGCTGGGCTGAAATAATTCACTGCTTCTTCCAGTAAAGCACAGGAGGGTGGGGGGAGTTCTTAATGTCTGTAAGCAGCCATGATTTCCACAAAGAGCTGTCAATATTTCTAAAGTTAGATAAATATATTTTTAAAAGTGCTCATCTTCCCTTCCCATCCTTCCTATTTCTATTTGGAATGTAGTAATAGAATATTTAATAAAGACAAAATGGGACAACCAGCCTAGGAAAAGCTTCTAAACACTGTGATTTCTTCATGTTGTATTTAAAACAAGTTTTAAATTAATAGATTCCTAAACATGACACACATACGCCTCAAACTGGGCACATTACACATGATGCTATGTCGCTGTAGCAATGCGGTATGGTGACATAGTACCGGTGGGCACAAACAGCGATGCTGGAGCTACAACAACACAGTAACATGCTCCCTCAGTATAGTGCGTCCCTACGGCGATGTAGGGGCTAAAAATAACTCTGCCACTGACATGGCACAATAATGGCTGTTATTGTGCTGCTGTTTAGTACTTACAAGAAGTACTAAATGACAGTGCAGTAACAATGGTGACATAGGGACACGTGTAGATGTGCCCACAGTATTGCAACCATCCCAGACTGTGATGAGCAGCAATATCCTATACGTATAAATATTTTAGTAAATCAAAATGGCATATGTGACAGGAAAAGGATATTTAAAAGGAGCCAAAAACATCTTAAATGCATAAAAATAAAAATTATGGAAGCTTAAAGGGCCTGAGCCTGGAACCGTGACTCCCACGAGTCACTGGAATTTTCTGAGTGTAGGAAGAAATATGGTTGGATCTGGAGTTTGACTTGATGTCAGTCTCAAGTGCATGCATGCACTCAGCTACTCTTACAGTCTTATTTTTTTTAAAAAGGAATGTAAGATGTAATAGCCACTGCAGTTTACAAGACAGCTTAAATATACATCTGCCTCAATTTTTCCATGTAATGTTACAAACACACCTGGTGCTCTTAAAATACAAGTTGGATTACTTTGTCCACATGGCAATACTTTGTTCTTCTAAAAGCAAAATTCTCTAGTACAGATCACTGCCAAGAGAACAGCTGTTATGAATACTCGGAAGACAAATTGCAGTGGTGGTTCTTGACATGGCCCAAAAAGGTCCTATGGACATACCAAACTCTTGTAATTGAAGTGGATTAAAGTCAGAGTTCAATCCCCTTCGTAGATGGGTCTCTGTATATAAGCCAGTATAATGGCATGTCCTATATGGTCTGTCAGTTTTCCTGGTTTATGTGGGTCTGCCACAGCAAAGGGAGACATAATTTAGAGGAGAAAACTGATTGTGAAACCACAAAACCTAAAGACTCAGGGACAGGTGGAGTATCTGGAAATAGCTTCTTTAAATGTTACTGGAAATTGGCAGCTTCTCTTTAAAGACAAAGCTCCAGTGTAGTGGGAACAGTGGGAAATATCTTCTTAAAACATCATGAGGAGCAACATTCTAGTAAATGCTTGGAAGTTCTGCACCTCACTCTTCCAGCACAGACTGGAAAAGGTTAATTGCTAATAATCTCACACAGCAGTAGTATGTGTTGCTGTTTAGTTGTGGCTGAAAGAGCAGATTGGATCCATATGCTGAAAATGTAAAGCAGACTCTTTCACACACGTTCAACACATCAGCAAAAGCAACTTTCTGCAACACAGAGCAACTGTTTTTAACAAAATGCCAACTTAGAAAAAAGATCCAAAGCTTAAAAGAATGTGTGTGTTAAAATAGGACATTTTATCCTGTATGTTTTACAGAACATACATACATTCCCCCTCAAAAAACACACACAGAAAGACAGCAGTACTGTTTCCCTCTGAAGTTTGAACATTTTAATCTATATATTTTGACTCATTTTAATTTGGTGAAGAGTCTGAAGTATCCTGCCCCCTATATAATTGCACACTACTTGTTATATAACATTCGGGTTATATATTTTTGGTGCAAAAGAACTTGAATGTTTGTACTTGTATTACTCATTAAATTAACTGCTTGGCAAAATCCATTTTATGAACACCTTAAAATAGGTGTTTAAGCCTATTATGCTACTGGCCACTAAAAAAACCAAAACAAACCCTGAATGTTGCTCCTCAAAGGAGAAGCAGGAAAGATTATGGTTTCTCAGAACCCAATGGAAAACATGTCATTCTCCACCTCCAAGTCAAGTGAGTAAGAGAAAAGGAAGAAGAGGCACTTCAATTTTTAGTGGGCATTGTACACTGCAGCTAGAACAAGTTGCATGAAAGTGCAAACAGATTAGGCTGCATGTATTCCTCTAAAAATAAGAAAGGGAGCAGTTTTAAATCAACATATAGTCAACACCACTCCAAGATGGTACTAAACTGCAAAAGCCCCCTTGTTTCCACAGTCTGTTCTCCAAGGATGTGCTTTTACAAGACATTTGCTAGTGTAAAAAGTGTTTGGGTTTTGTAGCACACCTTTTCAAGCATTTCCATTTTTTTCCTTCAGTTTTAACTCTGTAAACAGAAATAAGAAGCAGGATGTCCTTCCTTGGGAGATGGGGGGAAAAAAATAAAAAAAATAAAAATTGCTTTCGTTTCTACTAAACAAGTTCATCCACGTGAATTCAATCACTATCCGACTCTTCTTTGTACTTGGCTCTAATGGCTTGGCCATTCTGGAGCGGCATTTCTTCATAGTCACTCCTGTTAAACAAACCATTGTAAACATCCTGAAAAAACAGCTAGTTTTCAAGCATTAACTATACAAGGAAAGTTCTACAATAATTTACTTCAAATACAAGAAGATTTTTGGGTACGGAACAGTAAGGAATGCCTTTTCTGTTTAGCATGTGAACAATACACACTTTTGTCTGCCAAAGCATTCCTCAAGGTATGCTTCCACTGCAATGCCGCTGGAACCCTACTGGGCTGCTGGTAATGTCTACTCAGGGGCAAGGCAGCAACTATCACTACCAAACAGAAGCCAGGCCTGCACGCACACAGACAAATCCTTACACCTAAAGCAGTGTAACAGTTAATCCATACAGAAGACACACTTAGGTTATGGTTATACCACCTTATCCTCATTTTGCCCGACAACTGCTGCTGTGGTACATTTGACCAAGACTAAGCTCTCAAGGATAGAGAGCACCTAGGTGCTAGTGCAGCACCTAGCCCAGTGGGGCTCTGTCCTGGTTGAGCTTCTTGGTGCTACTGCTTCACACCTGAACACATCTGGCAGTTTTTCTGGGTTTTATTATTAACGCCTTTTGACAAATGTTGGGTACTTAGAATGACAACTGCTGCACAGGAGGACAATGCTTATTTTAAGTACAGCCCAGCTTCCAATGCTTTCCCACTTGCTTCCTGCTATCCTTCCCAACTTCAGCACCAGAACTGTCTGTTCCCTCCTGCCACTAGGTTTCTCTGTTGCAAACCCCACCCACTCGCATTCCCCTACTATAACCTGTTGTCTTCATCCTTACCTTTAGAGGCAGGGAATGTACCTATTTGTATCAGTGTCAATGAACATGTTTTCGGATGCCAGATAAGAAAAAACAAAAAACAGGAAGTCTCATTGTGTTTATATTCTGGAAGGAAGCCATTCAAAAATGCAAGAATTAAGCTACAATTCCCTTCTTTTTTGCATTCAGTGTGTTTGGATTTTGCTATGAACAACCTGAGGTTTTCAAACATTTTGAGTAAAAGGCATTCCATACCCCAGCCACCCCCTGGATATTTCTTGCTATCACTGCTTACCCATAAATCACATCATCATCTGAATCATTCAGCATAGAAAAGGCAGGATTGTCTTTCAATTGCGACTCTGTAAAATAAAAAAGGGTTTCATTTAACCCAAAACATGCATTACTGACTGGCTTAAACTTTTACATTAGACCCCAGCTTTCATCTACAACTCAAGCAGAAAACTTACAGTTACCAAGACATTTATAACTGGGAGCCACACAGAGAAAAGAAGCCGGAATCTATCATTTAAATTCTGCATTGCCTTTCTACAGCATGCCAGCATTCACAAGAGCTGAGAAGTTGACACCCTTCCTAAAGCCATCAGAAAATGGGTATTCTTCATATTGCATCACAGCAACATTATTTCCTCCCTGCACAGCTTCCCAGTGCAGTATTCTGAAATACCAGGTATAAATGATGTGAAATCAAAAAGAACCTAGGTGGAAAGTACAGACAGGCTCTTTGTGATGCTCAACTCCTTTCCAAAATTTAGGATGAAGGTACTAGCAGTTATGGCATCTAAAGCTATTTAATTATTACCGTACATAGAGGTTAACAGCTTAATAAAAGGTATTTTTCACCGTCATGGAAGGCAGTGAAAGGAACTGAAGCAACTATGGTGAAATGGAAGATGTACACTTCCCACTGGTTATTCAGGGGACAATTCTCTCTTGGTTTCTGTATAAAGGCTTGTAGATAAATATATCTTTGATGCAAGTTGGTAAAACTGCTGAACCTATCATGGAAGCCAAGTAGTAAAGGGATAGAGTGAGGTCTGGGGGAGAAGGGGGCAAGGGGAAAAAAAAAAAAAAATATCACACTTTGAGAACAAAATAAGGGAAAATAAGGAAAGAAAAATCAGCCCATTTGATTTGGGGTTTTTTAGCGTGGAAGATCAGACCAGGACACACATCCAGCTGCAGCTGCACCCCCCTCCCCCTGCTTTGTGGTGCTGAGCAACTCTGATATGCTGGTGCCCTGCCCATGCCACTGCCCCCCAGTCCCAACCCACAGCCCCACCCCTGCCATGCCCCTCACTCCCCACCCACAGCTCCCCATCCCCCTAG